GTGATTTGTACTTAACTGGACCACGAGATTTCCCACATGCTCTGCTTCAAATTCCTCGAAAAATGAACAATCAAGCTTTTTGCAGCTAGAAAACATAATGGCATATGCTCTTTTTCGTTCTCTCTCGTACCTGATAATATAACCATGTCTCTGGCATCGAGTCCAACTCTGGCGAACCTGGCGACGAGTTGCGTGAAGTTGTCTGTACGTTCAGGTAAACTACTGTTGACCTCATCGGCGAATGAAGCTCCTCCGTCTATACGGCCCAAAAACACGGGCCAGCTGGTGCCTCCAACCTGCAAATGATCACATAGTGTTTCTGAATACCTTGGAATGCAAGTTCGTGCGGGTATAGGACAAATCTCATGCATCGTGTCCGAGCACTGGAACATAGTTAGCCTGTACATCAAAGCTGAGAATTTAGTGCTTGAATTGTTATACAGTGTTCCGATAGCAGTGGATCCCTGGGAATGTGAATCGTCAAACCACATACCTTCGCAGTGGCGTCTCGGGCAACCAATGCCAAAATATCGGCACAAGATACCACACCTGGGCATGCGCACTCGAGCTCCATCTTTATTTCGTCTATCTGCTCGAATCCCCTTAGAGAACCTTTGTTTAGCAATGCTTCTTTCTCAGTCAACATTGTGTCGGTAGAATTGAGAAGAACGGACCCATCGCAGCCCTGCAAGTCAATCAATATTCTGTCGTTCAGAAGGGAAATCGCCATCTCTAAGTATTGACAGGTCATTAACTTGTAAACACGTCCTTGAATGCACCACGCCTCCTCTTACCCGGACAAAGCAGTCGTGGAAATGAAGTCGCATCAAAGCTGCAGCGAGGCCTCGATCGGCATCCACGAACGCATTCACCTTCTGTTGGACGATGGATGCGGCTTGTGGACATGTAGCATCATAGAAAGTTTCTGACAGCTGTAACTGCGCATCGGAAACAACTACTGCCACCGCTAGCACAAGCAAGAGGAGCGATCTCGGACCGGTTGAAGCCATTGTAGCTAAAACAATGCCAACAGCACTCCTCCCAGGCAGTCCAGGCCTTGTCAACAAGTGGACGATCTCGACCTCGTACCCAGTCGAAGGAAGTCCAATCACGCAAGTTGATCAGACTCACCTTCCTGCACAATGCCATGATTTGGGAATCAGAGAAAGAAAGACGATTCGATGTGCAAGCTCGACAGAATATTCCTAAGACTGGACACGAAGAAAGAATCATACGAGAAATCAAACTTTGAGACTTGCTGAGCTAACAAGATCCAAAATCAGTCTCTGCGCCTGATCAAAGCAATGAGATAAAACTCACGAGCTGAATTGAGGTCCAAGATCAGATGGAGCTTGTCCAACTTGTGATTAGTCATTCCTTTCGATGGTCTTTTATACCGAGTTTAGGATGGCAAGTGGTCCCAGTAATCTTCTCCACTCTGTGCTTTTTCTTTCCTGATATTTAAAAATTTTCAATTATTTTAAACTGCAAGCTGGCCATGACTGAATGTAATGACGCCTATCATACAATATGGGAACTGATAGTGCAGCTATGAAAGCTAGGTGGCGTCATTGGTATTACATGTGATCACATTTCGCGGAAACATGTGTCTTTCAGATCCAGGAAGAGGAATGACACATGGATTGAACCACCTTGTGTGCTCCTTTCTCAGGAAGCAACCCATGATCCTCGAGCAATGGAGAGGAGAGATGTAATGGATTTCATATCCTCGTTAGCAAGGAATGATGAAGAACATTTAAGATCGATTCTCTTACTGTTCAAATAGTAAAGCTCAGGAGTACGCAAAAGTGACGTAGGAAACTGCAGACACATCATAGAATAGAGTTATCATGTTCAGAAACGTCCAACGTGAGTGTTTTTGTTTTCCCCATTCCGCGGTTATGGTGAGAAACTTCCAACAAGGTTGGCATGTGAATTCCATTTGGCTGGTATGCAAGCGCCTTCTGATTGCTTCCACATGCATGTTTTGGATTTCATGATCTGCTTTTTCTTCTGCTGCTGAATGCAATCCATGTTAATGCATTCAGGATGACTGCCTATTTCCTTTACTAGAAGATGGGCAGTTTGGTTCTCGTATAATATTTTTCTAACAGTAATCATTTGTCATTGTCCACGTATTGACCCCAAAAGTGCGAAAAAGTATCTTTGAATCCTGACTATCAGAATTTGCAACAGTATGTGTATGTTTAGTGTAAGAAAGTATCAGTTAGTTTTGACTCAATTGTTGAGAAGAAAAATAAAAGTTTTTACTTCAGATACTGTGAATGTCCTCCGCACTAACATTTTATTTTTAATTTCTCCCGAAGGTAGTATTCCTCATGACCCGGTGTATTACGATGTGAATAATTTGAAAGTAGGTAGTTGCAAGAGATAGCAGTTTGCTTACCTTTTGAATAATTCATTGATGTATTTATGACGCCTCTAAGTGGAGCATTGTTTGAGCTTTGGAAGTGGAAGTAGCGTTCTAGCAATCGAGATGATTCTGAAGTCATTACTGTTTTTAATCTTCCACCTGAGTATGGAGTATAGTGTTAGTAAGAAATTGCAGGTTTTAAACAGTCTTCATTAACTGAGATTAGAAAGTGCCTTGGACTCGAGTAAGGCACCAGTACACTGAATATCCAATCTGGGTCACCAGTGAATGATGAGAAGTCTTCTCTTCAGATAAACTTATTTGTAACATTTTCCTTAAGTGCATTGAGCACGAGCATGCTTGTTGCAGATTGACAGGTATTCCGCTAAGCAACAGTTGGAATGCTACCCATCTTTATCATTGACATGCTAAACCTCTAACAGAATTCTGTTGGGATTATACAAAGCAATAATGGCGCATAACACTCCCCGAGGATCTCTCAGTAGTTCCACATAGCATTGCACAAGTTCTTTTCTTTGAAACATTCCGTCTGAATAATAAATGAGGTCGAGAATTCGAATTGTCGCGTCCAAAGGCATGAAGCCGAAGGGACTGGTATGAAAATATCGCAACCAATTCTGGGTCCATCGAAAGTTCTGTTATTATCTGATCTTGGACGTGTACAGAAAGTCGAACAATGGGCCACAGAGAAATTTACAGTCTACTTCACGTAGTATCGCGTGCCAACAGAGTCAAAAACTGTCACATGAAACAACCCTGAGCATGCACATTCCAACACCATTTCGATTTCGTTAATTTGTTAAAATACTCTGTCCACTATTTCACCTCCTAAAACTTATTTCGTTCATAAAATTTCAGAATTATTATTAGATTTGAAACATCTCATAGAAATAATCACATGGAGATCTTTCTACAGTATCCAGAAAGCCTTTGAGTCATGTAACTCCCTATGCGGACCGCTGTCTCGAGTTTGAACACTAAGTCAACTGCTGGAATCTTGACTTCGATAGTCCGAGATGACATGTCGTAGTATCATTTGCACTGGGATTAAGATTCATGCAATAAGTTTCGTACGGATGGAGTTTCCATATGACTAGTGGTGAATCGAGCGAGACAACAGCCAAGATATCAGTAGAGCACATGAAACAACACATGTGAAGGTATATTATAAGGATGGCAATATTCTGAAATGAAAGAAGGACCAGCATTTTGCGGAAGACTGGCTTCCAGTCCGCGCTAAGACTGAAAAGAGAAGGAATCTTTCTCTAAATTTAGGCCAAGCTCGAGAACAACAGTTTTCCATCAGAATTGAGCCTCTGCCGGAGTTACAGCTGCCATCAAACTCTGCCATTGCAGTCACAGCTATCTAACCGATTGCGATCGGGAGGACTCTTACTGTAATGAAGATGCCAAACTGCCACACTGCGTTGGCTCACAAGTTGTATCAGGAGCTGTTTGAAATTTGACCACGTCTTAAATTATATCGATCCTACAGTAAACTTGCAGATTCCAAATATGTACAAAACATGCAGTGAGAACAATCCTCGACGAGTAACAGTATCTTCATCTGCTCGTTGGCTAGAATTCTTGCGTACACTATAATAATTTTGGAACTTAGTGTGACATAAATCATATTATAAATTACTTATGTCCATATTTTCAAAGTTTTAACCCAGTTACTACTTCTTATGATTGCAAGAATCGAGGATCGTTATGATAAATCTTTCTGGCAGGGAAACTACCCTAGCTTGTTATAGCGAATATAGCATATAGTCAGATGGATAATGTAACAGATGGAAAATGAAATTATTATTCCAAAAAGCAGTTCATTGAATTCAAATTTTGTCATCACTGCTTAAAAAATGTAAAATTTAGGTTTTTGTTGGCTTGAGATGTTCAAATTCTTTCTTCAGATGGATGAATTCTCTTCAATTTTCCTCACTTGATTCCGCACCTACTACTTGCGACAAGGTATGCTCTTTGACGCGACGACGTTAGGGATAAATAGTTGTAGGTATAATATCAAAATCTCCTCTCCAACACTCCTGCACGTTACTGACTGACTGGATAAGATTCACTGTCTATATTTCCTCAAGTGACCAAAGTTCTTCATATAATAGATCTAGAGAATTCTCTTCACTTCCGAGAGACCTGCTGAGACATAATGTTTTCATCCAAACTATCAATCCTACCTCAATTTCAACTACACGTCTACATCTTGACTTCACTTGATCAAAACACAATTTAGCAAATCTGACAACTTACAGTCCTTGTAAAACGCAGTGCAAAGTCACGTTTGGGGAACCAATAGTTATTGGATTTATTACATAGGGAAGAGTAGTTACAAGCTTGGCCTCGGATCATTCAAAGAATGAGATTCATCTAATTCAATTGTATCTACGTCCACCACTAGTTTTTTCTGACCCTATAGCTACATATGTGATATAGGAACATGATCCAAGGTAAACCACAGATTTACACCTTTCTTGAATAAATTCCTAGTTCTGAAAGCAATAACCGTCTTATTGAAGTCTGCCGGGAGTGAGATCCAATAGCCAAAATTGCTCCCAACAAATGGATTCCAGCGCGACAATGAATCACTGGACTAGAATTTGGGTTCAACAAAGGCGCAGTGTCTTCTCCAGCCATATGGCTCGAGTGCAGGAATGGCGCCCATCTTGATCATGGCCCATCCAAACTCGTTCAGGAAGGCCATGGGATCTTGCACTGCTCTGATGGCATATTCCACGCCCAGAGGGTCGCTTAAGAGCGCCACGTCCGACTCCAGCAGGCCCTTGTTCGTCAGCAGGTCCAAGTAGTACGCGGAGTCGAAGGTGCCGTTGGTGGCGTCCAAAGCCATGAATCCGAAGGGCTTGGTCTGAGGGCACTGGACCTTGAGCATGGCAGCAAACTCAGGGTCCATGGAGGGATCGGTGATGTTGAGTCCCTGGAAGTTGTAGAGGCGCTCGAAAAACGCGCCGCAGTGAACTTGTCCAATAGAATGTCCTCCTGCATCATTGCCAATGTGTTCATGAGCACAAAATGACTGTGAAGGTGTTTTGTGTTCATTCATCAAGGGACAATCTGTGTCTCAGCGTGGATCGGTTCCGCATTAACACATCTGTGAATAGGTGCACTGTGACCCGATCCGTCTCGGATCCCACGTGATTTGTACTTAACTGGACCACGAGATTTCCCACATGCTCTGCTTCAAATTCCTCGAAAAATGAACAATCAAGCTTTTTGCAGCTAGAAAACATAATGGCATATGCTCTTTTTCGTTCTCTCTCGTACCTGATAATATAACCATGTCTCTGGCATCGAGTCCAACTCTGGCGAACCTGGCGACGAGTTGCGTGAAGTTGTCTGTACGTTCAGGTAAACTACTGTTGACCTCATCGGCGAATGAAGCTCCTCCATCTATACGACCCAAGAACACGGGCCAGCTAGTGCCTCCAACCTGCAACGGATCCCATATTCTTCATAAATATCTTTCAAGTTCGCACGGGTATAGGACAAGCCTCATTCATTGTGTCCGAGCACACAAAAGCTGTTAGCCTCTTCATCAACTCCGAGACATAAGCTCATAGAATGTATGCAGTATATCGATAGCATTGAATTCCGAATTGTCAATCGTCAAACAACATACCTTCGCAGTGGCGTCTCGGGCAACCAATGCCAAAATATCGGCACAAGATACCACACCTGGGCATGCGCACTCGAGCTCCATCTTAATTTCATCTATCTGCTCGAATCCTCGTAGCGATCCTTTGTTTAGCAGTGCTTCTTTCTCAGTCAACATTGTGTCGGTAGAATTGAGAAGGACGGACCCATCGCAACCCTACAAGTCAGTCAACATTCTGTCGTTAAGAAGGGAAAACGCCATCTTTAAGCACTGAAAGGTCATTAACTTCTAAACAGGTCCGTGAATTCATCATCTTTCCAAAACAGTGGATCCTTCTTACCCGGACAAAGCAGTCGTGGAAATGAAGTCGCATCAAAGCTGCAGCGAGGCCTCGATCGGCATCCACAAACGCATTCACCTTCTGTTGGACGATGGATGCGGCTTGTGGACATGTGGCATCATAGAACGTTTCTGATAGCTGAAGGTGCGCGTCAGATACAACCACTGCCACCGCTAGCACAAGCAAGAGGAGCGATCTCGGACTGGTTGAAGCCATTGGTGCTAGAACAATGCCAACTCCTCACTCCCGAGACAGTCTTAGCCCTGTCAACGAGTGGACGATCTCGACCTCGCATCCAGTCGAAGGTGGTCCGACCACATAAGTTGATCAGACTTCCCTTCCTGCAATTTGCCATCATCTCGGGAGTCAGAGAAAAAAAGACAATCCGAGATGCATGCTGGACAGAAAATTGCTACTACTGAACACAAATAGGAAGAAATCAGCAAGTTTAAAACTTGAACATCGAAGAGCAGCCTGTACGGCAAAAAAACGACGTTAAACTCACGAGCTGAATTGAGGTCGAAGATCAGATGGAGCTCGTCCAACTTGTGATAAGTCATTCCTCTCTATGGTCTTTTATACTTGAGTATAGGATCCATGTGATTCCATCGATACACTGGACGCTGACTTGTCATTCCTGTTTGTAAATTTGGTAAATTACAGTAATGCTGCAAGTTGGCCTTGACTATGTGTAATTGCGCTAGGTATATTATATTTGAAATGCATATCAAATCCGAAGCTCAACCATGGAAGCTAGGTGTCCTTATCGGAATCAGATCTGATCACACTTCACATAATAGTTTGATTCAGATCCAGAGTATTATAATATTACCACCTATTGTGACCCCGTTTTGGAGGAGCAACGCATGATCGTTGATGGAATGGTGAGACTTAATGGATTCTATTCCTTCCGGAGACAGAAAACGATTTGGAGCTTATAAGACCGAATCTTTAGTAATTAAACAATGAAGATTAAGAGTTGGTCAAAATGGGGAACTTCAGACACATCATAATGGAGCAAATCAGCTAAAAAAGGTTTATTAAGGTTAGTAGTATAACTGCAGAGTATCGTAAACAGAAGACATATCCTGTTTACCTTACTCTGCAGTACCTGAAAGACCGTAGGCCACTCCGACAAGAAAATTGCCGAGGTATAGTATGAAGCCTCCAAGAAGGTTGAGATTCGCATAGCTGGAATTCAAACGCATTCGTTTATCTTCTTTCATTGACGTGCATGTTTTAAATTGTCGGACAACTGAATAACTCTCCTCATCAGCTTTGACTTATGCTGCTCAGAGCAATCCAAGATACTGCATTCAGGAGGACTGACTACTTCTTTTGCCTTTAACATGGCAAGTTTGGATCTTGTCCTATTTATGTCATGTTGAAATAATCATTAGTTGTCCACATATTGATCCCACCTGTACGAAGAATGAATTGTGCATCCTTAGGTTGAGGTTTTAGCCTAAAATTGTGAATGTGTACACGATTGAAGACAAAACTATTCCAGAATTTATTTATTTCTGGCAAACCTGGCATTTGCAAGAAATTATGAGGCCTGCCATACATGGACTCGTCGTGTACATGAGAGTGTGAGACTTCAAACCGTCCTTCTATGTACTTTGTATCCAAAGAAGTACTTTCTGTCCTGCAGTACTGAAATTTAGCAAAATCCTGAGAGGACCTTCTTACTCAGCATTAAATGAGCTAGATGTAAAAATTTTGTGAGAGATTCAGTCTCAGGAAGTTTGACTCATATCCTTCTCCTTAACTTCTGAAAGTAATCGATTCCCAGTATCACATTCCATGATCATCATGCGTAGCAACGTGATGAGCGAACGCAGAAGGTTGTTAGATTCTTGACCTTTCCATAGATCTAAAGGATACATATGTTTGCAATCTGATCACATGCAATTCCAAAAAGGCCTTCCTCCTCCATGACACTACTATCAATTCCAATATAATATGTAAAGTGTCATTTCAAAAGATCATGGCCAGCTTGCGATATTAAAATACCAAATAATCAGGAGTGAAAATCACAGTGCGGAGGATACTACTCTGACCACTTGAAATGTAAATACGAAGTATAAAAGTCCGACGAAATGAATGACTTATCAAAAGTTGGACCATCTTCTTCCAGATCTACGAACTCAAGTCAGCTCGTAAGTCTTATCACGATCCTTGCCTTGGAAAACATAAGAGTAATGGATCATCTTTGCTGCACAAATTTCAGAGTTTCAGACCTCGTTTCTTTCAAAGCTGCGCACGAATCTCGTTTTTAGCAAGTTTCATTTTTACGGGAATTGGAGATTTTCTTTCTTGGTCTGAACGCTCTGATGATGGCATTGTGCAGGAAGGTGAGTCTGATCAACTCGCTTGATTGGACTGCCTTCGACTGGATACGAGGACGAGATCGTCCACTTGTTGACAGGTCCCGGACTGCCTGAGGGGAGTGCAGTCGGCATTGTTCTAGCTACAATGGCTTCGACCAGTCCGAGATCGGTCATCTTCCTCGTGCTAGCTGTGGCAATAGTTGTTTCTGATGCGCAGTTACAGCTGTCAGAAACTTTCTATGATGCCACATGTCCACAAGCCGCATCCATCGTCCAACAGAAGGTGAATGCATTTGTGGATGCCGATCGAGGTCTCGCTGCAGCATTGATGCGACTACATTTCCACGATTGCTTCGTCCGGGTACGTCAAATCGTAGTGCTAAGATCAATGCATGCAAAAATTGTTCTTGTTGAACTGTAAGACTGGAAGATATGTTCAATGCTGAGCAGTAGCGCTATAACGTCTCAGCGAAATTTGTATTATTGATGACGCTCAGGGCTGCGATGGATCCATCCTTCTAAATTCTACCGAGACGATGCTGTCTGAGAAAGAAGCATTGCTCAACAACGGTTCTCTGAGGGGATTCGACCAGATTGACGAAATAAAGATGGAGCTGGAGTGCGCATGCCCAGGTGTGGTATCTTGTGCTGATATTTTAGCATTGGTCGCCCGAGATGCTACCGCCAAGGTACGAATTATGTTGATGAACATTTCTAGGAATCTAGTATAACTGGCTATACGTAAAGAGACTAAACTTATGCTATGCAAGTCTTTTCATCTCATGCGAAAATGCTTGATTAGTTTTTTGAGTGCTCGGAAACGACAAAGTACTTTTGGGAAATTTTCATGGAGAAGAACGGCCTTTCCAGGTTGGTGGCACTAGCTGGCCCGTGTTTTTGGGCCGTATAGACGGAGGAGCTTCATTCGCCGATGAGGTCAACAGTAGTTTACCTGAACGTACAGACAACTTCACGCAACTCGTCGCCAGGTTCGCCAGAGTTGGACTCGATGCCAGAGACATGGTTATATTATCAGGTACGAGAGAAAATGAAAAATAACGTATACCATGATTTTCTCTAGCTGCAAAAAGCTTGACTTTTCGTTTTACGAGGAAGTTGAAGGACAGCATTTGGGAAATCTCATGTTGATTTGGGAAATCTCGTGGTCCGTGGTCCGTAGTTGAGAAAAAATCACATGTGGGTTCCGAGTTGGATTGGCTCACAGTGTACCTATTCACAGAATTGGAAAAATGCGGAACCGATCCACGTTGAGACACAGAATGTCCCTTGATGAACAAACACAAAACACCTTCACAGTCTTTTTGTGCTGATGAACACATTGGCAATGATGCAGGAGGACATTCTATAGGACAAGTTCACTGCGGCGCGTTTTTCGAGCGCCTCTACAACTTCCAGGGACTCAACATCACCGATCCCGCCATGGACCCTGAGTTCGCTGCCATGCTCAAGGTCCAGTGCCCTCAGACCAAGCCCTTCGGATTCATGGCTTTGGACGCCACCAACGGCACCTTCGACTCCGCGTACTACTTGGACCTGCTCACGAACAAGGGCCTGCTGGAGTCCGACGTGGCACTCTTGAGCGACCCTCTGGGCGTGGAATATGCCATCAGAGCGGTGCAAGATCCCATGGCCTTCCTGAACGAGTTTGGATGGGCCATGATCAAGATGGGCGCCATTCCTGCTCTCGAGCCCTACGGCTGGAGAAGACACTGCGCCTTTGTAGAACCCAGATTCTAGTCATGTGATGTCACGCTAGATCCCATTTGTTCCATTTGTTGTGAGTAATTTTGGCTCTTGGACATCACTCCTGGCAGCCTTCAATAAGACGGTTATTGCTTTCAGAACTAGGCATGTAGTCAAGAAAACTGTACATCTGTGGCGCACCTTGGATAATGTGTCTATATCACATATGTATATGTAGCTATAGGGTCAGAAAACACTAGTGGTGGGTGTAGATACAATTGAATTAGGTGAATCTCATTCTTGGAATAATCCGAGGCCATCCTTGTAACTTACTCTTCACTGTGTAATAAATCCAATAACCATTCACTCCCTTAACATGGGTTTGTACTGCTGTGTATTAGGACTGCAGGGGGTTTCACTTATGTTCGGTTAATTCTGTTGATCGATTGAAAAAAATATGATGATTTCTAGAAGTCATAATGAAATAAATCATTGTGTAATTGTTATGAAGTTAAGATCTCTAGGTTGGATCATCTGTATATGATTCCGAGCGCTGGGATGGGGGAGGGGGGAGGTGGGGAGGTCCTTAGGCCTCCCAAGCTGAATATGTATCGATAGGCCGACAAGAGCGTTCGTTCTCGCACACTCTTGTTAGATTGTCAGATGCGAGAATTTTTGCAACTTCTGCTATCATGAGTTGGATTTCCAGCGAGACACGCATGTTAAATAGACATTCTAATAGCATAATTGAGTGTTTCAGCTGGGATCTGGAGAGATTCCATCATCAGCAAAGGAGGAAATTCTTGAACCAAAGTAAGCCGGTTTTATAAACTTGTATTCAATCTTGTCAGATGAAAATTTGACAGGAAATAGGTAGCAGAAGTCTCTTATTCGTGCTACTCTTCGGATTTGATGCAGAAAAATAAGTTGTAACACTTTCTACTGTGACAAATTTAAGTTCAAAACCAAGATATTTTAAAGAAGAAATTTTATCCTAGACAAGGAAAACATTACGTTGAGCATCCTTTGTCACTTTAAACGCAATACTCCAAAGAACTTGCTATTCGTGGGGAGCGTATACCCAATCATCCCATAGTATAATGCGAACTGAGAATAAAAATGTAACTGCTTTTCTGAAATAGTTATACCCCCTTTCGCAGGCCAAAGGTTTGGAGAATT